TGAGGTATTATTACCCTCTATTTTGTACTTTGCAGACAGCTATAAAAAATAGACAGGGGAACATGAGGAGCAGCAGGTCTGTGTAATAGCAGCATTTTGTTTAATCTGCTTCTAATGATAGATTGTAAATGTATTGAAACAGCCAATGCATATTATTTTGTCTGGGTTCTTTTGTCCATGTATAGTGATAATCGCTGTTGATAGTTTAAAACCCTTGGGTTTGCTCACTGGAAGTATTTTGTTTGAAACTTTTGTTTTCCTAGATTTCAGTAGCTGATCTCCCAGGATTGATTGAAGGTGCACATGCAAACAAAGGAATGGGCCACAAATTTCTCAAACACGTAGAGAGAACCAAACAGCTTCTCTTAGTTGTAAGTTAAATAAAATTTACAGTTTATTGAAATCAAAGTGTAATAAATAAAATATATCTTAATTGCAATGTAGTTGGAATTTAGAAAGTCATTTGTAATTTGTGTGATTGTGATAAATATAGCCGTAATTGTGTCTATAGAATGGACCACTCAAATGGCTAATGAGAAATAATATTTTCAATGATAAATTCTTAAATAGAATTTATCATTGAAAATTTCCAATTAATTTAGAACAGTGAAGTGTTCCAAGCATAACAAAAGCATGATTTTTTTTCTGTAAGATTTCCCATAAGAAGTTTAAAAACCAGACCTTTGAGAAACACTGTATGAGAATTAACCAGTTTGTGCCTGCAGTGTCTGATGTTTCTGGGCTGTTTAGTTGCTGTTGTTTGCCCAGGAGTGAACACATTGCTATGGACATTCCAGGGCAAAGTAGCTGATGGAGAGTACCTTGATACTGTAAGAATATTTTACACCACAAAACTTGTTTTTGTGTAACTTTTCCAGGTTGATATTTCTGGGTTTCAGCTGTCTATGAAGACTCCGTTCAGAACAGCCTTTGAAACGATATTGCTTCTAACAAAGGTAAGTTCTCATCTTCCTATGTGACAGCTGTAGTTATGTGTTGAGTCAAGAGAATGGCTCAGATTTGATTGAGAAGCATTCAAATGTTAGGGTGTCTTCTGGATTTATAATATAAAGCCAGTGACCAAAGAGATTCTTCAAAATGATGAAGTTTTTATTTTCACTTGTCCAGGTTAAACTGCTCTAGTTTATATTGGGTACCAATTACTAATAGAATTGATTAATCTATGCAGCATGTTACAGTCAAGTAAAGGTAAAAAGACACATCATATTCAGTTCCCCAATCCAGTAGCATTTTAAGAAGTAGAAATGTGTGGTTACAGTTAAAGCCCTGCCTTGATGCCCTTACTGCATAGACCAACATCAGGCCCCAGTCTTGCAGACATTCACTGTTTCCACCTCTTAACTATGCATCTGATTCAAATAATACACATTATGTCATTTTAAATTTATTTCTTACTGTGTGACTTAAGTTGATGAATCTTCTGCATTTCAGGTATAGCTGTTTATTTTTAGTTTATTCAGGTTGGGATTTTCTAATATTAAAATATTTAAGAATTATAACACTCTACAAAGTATTTTCTTATATGTTTTATAGGTCTGAAGTTTTTCTGAAATTGATTTTCTGTTCATAGATGTCAGTATAAAAAGAAACCAAAACTCTCATTCTTTCTGTAACTGGCATTTCAGAATGAGCTAGCCTGTTAACCTGAAATCTGTCTTTGAGCAAAAAAAATGAATCACTCAACACTATTTTCTTCTGTGCTGTAATATATCAGCCTTGAGCACCTGAATCAAAACCACAGCTGCTTGGGCAAGAAGGTCTATTTGGGCAATCAAACAAATGCAAGAGGAGATGTAAAATTGAAGTTGCCCATGTTAAACTACAGATACTTACTAAGGGAAATTTACTTTTCTTTTAAGGAACTGGAGCTGTACAAAGAGGAACTTGTAACAAAGCCTGCACTTCTTGCCATCAATAAAATGGATTTGCCTTGTGCAAAGGATAACTTGGATGAACTTATGACACAACTAGAGAACCCTCAGGGTAAAGGAAATTCCAGTAATAACTTTCATCAAAAGTGGTAGTAAGATTTCATATGGATAACTCTGCATTGGCGGAGAGTTGTTTGAAACTGAAGTCAGCTATTAAATTTATTATTTGAACATATGTTTAAAATCACTTCCTGCATTAAGAGCTCTGTTTATATGCATTTGTAATGGCTTCACTGTTTGGAAAAGATTGTAATAAAATAGAGATATCCCAGATGATCTTTCCCAACCATGATATGAGAGAGTAAGTTTCCAGTCTAGGTGTCTGGAATAACAGTAACCTGCATAGAAGGTCCCCTCACAGGCACTGACACGTGTACCATTTGTCATGTGATTTTGGCATAAACACATGAAAATTCTGGAAAGGTCTATGTAGGTTTATTTTAGTCTTCCAATTGCATTGGGGTGAATTGCTTTCTCTTTCCTGGAGTGTGTAGAAACCAGGAAAGCTTAAGACCATATTCTCTCATATTCTGCAACTTGGTATTTCTTCGTGCTCATTGGAAGTGTATAGAATCTTCTCATGGCAGCATTAAGAATGGTATAACTGCTATATTAGTGCTTGTCTTCTGAGATTTGAGAAGACTAATTGTGCAGATAGTGTGTATATTAATTGCAGCTATGTTTATAACTGTAATTTATTAAAGTTTATTTTCTACATTTAATGGGATTTTATGGGCTTTGTAGTGATACAGTATTTGGGGATTGTACTAACTCTTGCAATACAATTTTTCAGATTTCTTTCACTTACTAGAGGAAGAAATTATTCCAGAAAATACTCTTGAATTCAGAGAGGTGATTCCTGTATCTACCTATACTGGAGAAGGAATTGAGGAACTCAAAACATGTCTAAGAAAATCCATAGATGAGGAAGCAGAGCAGGTGAATGAAGAATATCGGAAAAAGAAACTCCTGCTTTTACAAACTTCCAGAGAAGAACAAATGAATAGAAGCTGACATTCCTGAATGGATCCAGCACATTTAATATTTTAACTATGCACATGAAACCTTTGTGCAGACTTTCCATTTAATTGTTCCCTCTTCCCTCACCACCTGCTTCCCTCCATTTGTTGAGGCACGTGGGTAGGGCACAGTTGGGAAAGTGACAAGGGTTTTTTTATTTATGTTGGCTACAAAGCTCAACAATGTAAAGACCAAAGCATGTGTAACTCAAAGCACTACTTAACAACTAAGGATCCCTGGAATATTTTTGCCAAGTGAGAGGAATGGAGGGACTATAACTTGCACAAAGGAGCAAGTTCAACAACTCTTCATATCCTGTGGGCATCAGAAGAACTAAAGGAAGTTCCTGATGGAGGAATTTTCCAGGGTCTGGGCCTTCTAAGGTGAACATAAGTTCTGCTATTGTGACAGGCTTTGTTGGTTTAAAGGATTTAAAGGAAAACACATATATAAATGGCTACTAGGAAATGACTTGTAGGAGCACAAAAAGCAAGACTGATGTTGGAGGGTTTTTTGGCACCTGCTGGTGCCTACTGTAGTCATCTTAGTTGTATAAATCCTGATTTCAAATTCCTGTGCTTAATTTGTGATCTCCTCCTTTTATGGAGTTGTTTGGTTTATATTACATTTGAGTGAAGAAAATGGCTTTTCCTCAACAGAACTGTACATTTTTGGAAATATTTAGTGTTCTAGATTACATATTACAAGAAGTCACAATCACACTTTAGTTTTTAAAAAATTTTGAAGTCCTCTATTGTCAGGGTGTTTTCTACTTCGAAGCTATTAAATTGCTTGTAAAGCAAAATAAGATTGAATACATCAAAGCCTTCTAGTTTGGTTTGCTTTTGTAATATATGTATCATACCCTGCTTCTTTAGATTTTGTTAAAGGAGTAATTGGGAGGAAAGGTATGGTTTGTCATAATGCATTGTCATCTTATTGCAAAAGTGGCATACCTTCTGGGTGATTTCTCATGTGCAGCTCCACACCACAGCAGTGACTCCTTTTTCACAGCACAGCCAGCAAATGCTAACTCTTTCCTCACCTAGCTAACCCACTCTTTTGTAGCACTCGTCGTATTGGACGCAGCTGTGGCCTGTTAAGGGCAGGCCTGTTCCTAATCTTTGGTGATTGGTACAGCTGCAACTCCTCAGGTGTGAGACTACCTTCTGCACTATTTTCTTACATTCTATCCCTCCACAATAATGCATCTATTTTATCATTGTATTGGCTCTTACTGTGATTTTCCTCTAATTTTACAGTGTTCAGGGCTAATATGCTTTCACTGATGCTAAGAATAGGCTGTCCATTTTACAGAGTTGCAGAATGAATTAGGTTGGGAAAGACCTGTGAGATTGAGTCCAACCAATGATCAAACACTACTTTGTCAACTAGACCATGGCATTCAGTGCTTCCTTAAACACCTCTACCCTCCACCTTCCTGGGCAGCCCATTACCCTTTCTGTGAAGAAATTCCCCATGATGTCCAATCTGAATCTGCCCTGGTACAGATTGAGGCCATCTCCTCTCAGCCTGTCACTGGTTGCCTGGGAGAGAAGACCGACCCCCACCTGTATATAACCTCCTTTCAGGGGGTTGTACAGCGATATCATCACCCCGAGCCCCCTTTCCTGCAGGCTGTTTTATAGCTGAAAGAAGCATTTTGTTTTTTCCAGACTTTCCGGTCTTAATGAGTGAGGTTAAGGGGGTAGTGGGGGTGTGTTTGGCCTGAGAGGCAGCATGGTTTACTGGAGCTGTCCGCCGTGGGCCGCAGCTGCCTGCCGCAGTCGGGTTCCTCGGACCTGGAGTCAGCTGCCGTATCGCAGGGACGTGTGTTAGAGCACCGGCGTTTCCAGCCCGGGCTGGCGGAGAGCGGAGAGCGCCGAGCGGGCGGGCCCGGCAGGGCGGCCGGGAGCCGAGCTGGGCCGGGCCGAGAGCCGAGCCCGCACTGCGCCGGCGCCGCCGCCCCGCCCCACAAGGCCCCGCGCGGCCGTGGCCTACCCTCAGCGCGGCGGCTCCGCGGCCGGAGCGGCGGCCATGGCGCCTCCTGAGCGCGGCGGCAAGGTGAGCGGGCTCGGGGAGCGGGCTCGGGGAGCGGGCTCGGGGAGCGGGCTCGGGGAGGGGCACGGCCCCGGCACGGCCAGCCCGGGCCCTGCGGCGCTTCCCGGCTCCCCCGCGAGTCCGGGGTCGCTGTCGCGGGCGGGGATCGGCGGCGCTCCCCGGGGGAACGCTATGTGTTCTCTCCGTGCGTCACCTGCTCTTTCCGATTCAGTCGGTAAAATAATTACCCCTGCTCCAAGTTTTTCTTGGAAGTCCTAATTTTTTAGCTAGGATCGTTAATTCTAACCCGGTACATCTATATTTAATTTTAAAAGGAGTTTTGTACAACGTGGAACTGCATGATTGATTCCCAGAATCAAAGAGTGGTGGCAGTGGTTCTGAGCCAGTCCCTTGAAACTGGCGAGCTTTAGGCCTCCGGTTCTGGTGGCCAGTTAGCCAAAAGTCGTGAAAAATTTTGAACTGCTCATGCTGTTGTGGATAGTCAGGCAGTGGTTTGTGTTGATGAATTATACTGTGACTTCTCTCCTACAGGGCTTTACAAAACAGTGATGCTTCTCAAGGCCATGCAAAGGAACAGAGCTGGTTTTACTAAATTCTGAATTATGTCTATAGTAAATGTCCTTCTGTTGTCTTTTTTCCCCATTTTTTTTTTCTTGTGGGTCTTTAATTACTTACCAGTTTTTAACCAGTTTCAGCCAGCATCTCTTTACAGCAACATGGATCTTTAGAATAGGGGGTAAAATCTGTCCCTGTTAAGGGGTGCTGTTAGGAATGGTGGCTTCTGTGGCTCAGATAGAAGAGCCTTCCACAGTACAGCTTTAAAATCCTTGGGATGGAAGAAGCTGAAGCCAAGAATCTAAGGCAAGGCAGGGTTTTATCCGGCCAAAGTGTGTTTTCTTCCCTTGGACAACTAGCTGACAAGTGATTGAGATCCCTAGTTGTTCAACACCACTAGGGTTAGACAGTAAAATCAGATGGACTAAAGAGAGGAAGAGAAAACCAAAAGAAACTCCATTTCTGCAAAAATGAGTTGGGTATTGGGGAATATTCCATAGTTGCTCTGAATCTGTTTATTACAACACAAGTTTCATCATTTAATGGGAGGGACTCCGGGGCTGGGCACAGCTCCCTCTGACAGCTTTGTTTGCCTGCACTAATTTCCTACTTAATTATGTTGTTGTGGTTGTTCATGGGTGTGAACCTGCAGAGGGAGGTCTGTGTGTTTATCTTGGCTTCAGCTGCAAAGTGCACAGAAAGCTTGAAAATTCATCAGTAATGTTGGTGAACAAAAGCTGCTGCTCCAGGCTGTGTGACTGCAGTTGTGTCTTATGTGCAATAGCATTCTTATTAATGAGCTTCCAAATCTGAAACCCTCTTTCTCATTCAATGAAAAAATCAGGGTTCATGGCTGTGTTGTAAAGTCTTTTTCTTGCCTAGATAGTTTGATAGAAGGATTTCTTTGATGTTTTTGTAGGTGATGGAGCCTATTCATATATGAATTTTATAATATTTCAGGGTTTGATATGGGTAGTTTAGAATAAACTCCTCCTTTGCACATGTTAGCCCAACAAATTCGGCTGTAGGTCGTAACTTTTAACAGTTGCACACTGACATACTTGGAGGTCTGATGCTGTCCAGTAGTAAAGTGATTTACCTGTTATGACTGGCAGATTTGATCTTGGGACTTAGATGTGGGGGTAGAAAATCCACAAGAGGATCTTTTCCTCTGGAAAAGCTGGACAGCCATTGAAAAGGCATTACCAGTGTTTCCTGGTTTTCTCCAGTTTCCTTGAAACCTTTGTGTAGAAGGCAGGAAGGAATAAAGACCCACAAGATATATAAACAATTTAGAGTTTGTCCTTTGTTTTCTGACATTAAATAATCATTGCACCCTTTCGTCACTGCTGGTTAAGTACAGCCTGGAACCTAGCATCTACAGTAATCATTCTGTATGACTTCTTATGTTTTTTTTGCTAAAAACATAAAATTCAGGATGCAAACTCTGAGTCTTGGAGCACCCATGAGAGAAGCAGTTTTTTTGCACCTTTGTCTTTTGAGATGAATAGATAGAGAACAAGCTCTGGAGAAAAAAAAATTGAAGAAAGAAAACAAAAGTAGCTTGAGTTGTGTTTTTTAAATAAGATCAAATTGTAGAAGGTGATGGAATTGGCCTAATGCAAACATAACTGATATTCCTAATTCCTGAATTGCAATGTAAATGCTGTTGCTGAAATTGCATGAAACAAATGTGATGTTGACTCTTTCTTTGTTCTGTTTCTTAGATGCAGTGACACCTTTTTCCTGATTACAGAAGTTGCTCAAGTTTTTGTTGATTTGAGGACACTGCTGGTAAGTGCACTGAAGCCATCTAATTAAGACAACACCTGTTTTGTTACTGTCTTCATCAGGGACCTGAAGCAATAATTACAATCATCCAGCCAGCAATATTTGCAAGATGGGATAGGTCTCCCCTGATGGAAGGGATGGTGGTTAACATGCCTATTTGCTGTAATCTACTACTGCAAATGAATTTTCAGAAACAGCAGGTTTCTGAAAATGGTCAGTCATGTGTTTATTCCAGCTGGTTCACATATAGCTCTATCTTGGAGTATGCCCTGTGTGCATGGAAGTTTTATCCAGGTGAAGGCAAGCTCTTTATATAGGAGCAAAAGCATCAAGCTTGGGGAGAGCAAAATTTGATGTAATATTAGATTTAGCCCTGAAGTTCATTTGTTATAGTTCCATTTTCTTGCAAGTTGATTGTTTTGACCTTACTGAAGCTAGAGTTAGGCATCATATTAAAATAATCATAATGGAAATACTTCTCTGGTCCCCCTGCCCAGGGGCTCTCCTGTTAGTGACCTGCCATCTGAAAAGTTTACTGCCATGGGAAGAGAAGCTTGCCCATGCTCAGCTATCCTTAGCAGCAATACAATGCTGTACTTTTGACAAATAAGGGAGTTTTTAGGATAAATGTGGTTGTTGTTATTTCTTTCCAGAGTGCTTCTTTGGAATCTAGGCTGTGATCAGCACTTAAATGAAAGTGTCCACATTCCAGTGCAGTTCTTCAGGGTTAGATGGCATAAAATAATTGCCTAATGGTTTCTTAGGAAACAAATTGAACTTCATTTATTTGTCTATAAATCAATAGAATGCTGGCTAGCTGTATGGCTTGATAATGCTTTTAGTGTTTTTCCAGTATACATGGGAATTCCTTTCCTGAAAACTGGAGCTCCCTGGTAATTGGATGTTTGCAGGTATAAAAGGAGAGTGAGGGATCAGATCTGGTTGCCTTTTTGTTTGCAGCCATGGCTGTAACCTTTCTGTGATACAGAAACTCAGTTACCTGTATATGCATTAAGCAGAACTTCTGGTACTTAAGGGATTGGTTTGTGACTTTGGACATTTGCTAGATATGCTCAGTGCAGCATAATAAACTGGAAGAAATTTCGGGAGGAATTTATAACTGAATGGCACTCAGTAAGAATTTGCAAAGTATCTCTTCATTTTTAGGTACTATAATTCTTAGTGTCCAGCTTCAAGTACACTCTGGGGTAAATGCTCAGTGCCTGTTATGTATTAGGCTTCTTTGAAATATCTTGATCATGCAGAGAAGGGATAACTGATAACTGGAATTGTCTTTTCTTTTTTTTTTTAAGTTTTTTTTTGTTTTGTAAAGGCCCATCATTGAAACTGTTTCTCAGCATCTCTATGGACAAGAGGCTATAGTAGGTATGCAGACAGTGGTAATATTGAAAAGGAAGCAGTATTAACACTTGCTGCAGAGTGAAAAATGTGAAAACTGAAAAGTCATCTGCTTTCTGTAATTGTGTGCTTGGACAGTTGATTCTGAAAGGCAGGAGTAGTGAGGCAGAACTGTGAGTTGCTGTTGAAAAATTCATAGTAAGTTACTCAGCAGAGCCTCCACCACTATCTCGCAGCTCTTGTCAACAGTTTGGCCTATATAAAATGTGTATAGCTGCCTACATAGGCATTCCCTGCCAGTTTAATGATGCAGGTTTTAAGCAACTCCCTTCTACTCATGCAGGGTTAAGCAACTCCCCTTTACTCATGCAGCAGTGTGGTAGGACTGAGCATGCACTCTGATACTGTATCTGGGCTAAAGACAGGAGCTGCCAGCTGAGGACAGGTGAACTTAAATCATGGCTGTGTAGACTCACACATTCAAACGTGCTTCTTTTTCACCTTGAACACAGCGACTTCAACAGTCTGTCAGCTGAGAAGTCATAGGTCTGTGAAATAACCTGACATTTCATTAAAGCATGAATTCAGTGGTTTTTAAGAGTGTTACCACTGTCTTGAGCATGTCAGACAAAGAAGGTGCCACAAAGTTAGTGCCTACTAGCTGTCATTTGAGTTTATTAAAATCAACAATCAACTGTAGTTAGTCCTGTGTCCATGGTTTTCGTTTATACTTTTCTTTCTAATCGCAGGAGACAACCTCTGTGGGCAAGTATGGGCTGCCGGGACGTTCATGCGGCGACCGTGCTGGCCTTCCTCAGTGGCACAGCCTCGGTAGCCGGGCTGCTTGCAGCAGTTCTGCTTCCAAACTGGAGGCAGATGAGACTGTACACGTACAACAAGAACGAGAGGAACGTGACGGTTTACACCGGACTCTGGATTAAGTGCGCGCGCTTCGATGGGAGCAGAGACTGTGTGATCTATGACCCGCAGTGGTACACGGCTGTGGATCAGCTGGATTTGCGTGTTCTTCAGTTTGCCCTTCCTCTGAGCATGTTCACTGCTGTCTCAGCTCTGTTCCTCTGCATGATTGGCATGTGTAACACGGCCTTTGTATCCACCGTGCCGAACGTCAAGCTGGCCAAGTGCCTGGTAAACAGCGCAGGCTGCCATCTCGTGGCCGGCCTCTTGTTCCTGCTTGCCTGTGCCATTTGTCTCATTCCGTCCATCTGGGTCATTTTTTATAACAATTATCTGAACAGGAAATACGAGCCCATCTTCAGCTTTGACATCTCTGTATTTATTGCCATTGCCAGTGCTGGCGGTCTGTTTTTCACTTCCATCATGCTGTTCCTGTGGTACTGTGCATGCAAAAGCCTCCCTTCTCCTTTCTGGCAGCCCCTGTATTCCCACGCCCCCAGCATGCACAGCTATGCCTCTCAGCCCTACTCCGCACGTTCTCGCCTCTCTGCCGTAGAAATCGACATTCCTGTTGTGACACATTCATCTTAAGGAGACAAAGCCTTGGAAGCCGAGTTCTTGTGCTCGTTCAAGCCATGAAAATTGTAGGCTTGATTCTCTGTGCTGCCCTGCACTGAGCATAATTCTTTGTAAGGTCAAGTTTCCCAAGGCACAAAGCCATGGAGGCCTGAGTTCAGCAAGTCTGTTGCTGTTCTGGTCTGTTTGTTACTTATTGACCACTTTTCTTGACCACCTTTCCTTTTTTTTTTCTTCTTATTTTTTTGACTCTGAGCTCACTACAGTCACAATTGCTGCTAATGCTAGATCAGTACACTAACAATTGTATGCATCCATCCTTTTGCTTGCTGATGTCAAAGGAGGTTTGGACATCTTTGAGATTTAATAAGCTATTTCTAGATTCCAATCTCATTGTATGACCTTGCACCCATGTATTGTCCAGATGCAGGCATTGGGTGTAGGGGATTCACTGAGTTTTTTGTTCATCCAGACCCACATATTGTAATATGTGATGTCTGAAAAGGGTGTTTGGCAGACTAATTCAGTTCTGTGCACTGTTCTTTGGTTTTTGCTGTACACACAAACAGATACCTGCTTTGGAACTTCTGTAACAGAATTAGTGCCAAATTGCCCTTTATTTTCAACGTAGCTGTCAGAAGGAATAAAACTGATTTAACTACGAATGTTGTTCTGTGCTCTAATAGCATTTTGTGAATTACTGGAGGCTAGAAATCTTTTGTGAATTTTATTTCTAGTCTGTTTTTTACTGAGTTAGCAAATTCACAAGATCTATTTTGTCATTAAAAGTAAAAACACTAGTATTTAAAAATTGTGATTAAAACCTTGGATGTTTTATTTGAAGGCCTTCTTAAAAACGGATTTTCAAGTATGATATAAAGTGTTCAGTTCTGGAGAGAAATGTCACTCCCTACAAGGAAGGTTAGGAAAATGATAAAGAATTATGAAGACTATGAAAGATCCTTTTGAAACACTGTGTACAAGCTATAACAATATCTCTCTGAAAAGGGAATTATAACCCTGGGGAGAGATTTTTTTTTAATCTAGATGTTTTTTAAAAGTGTATATACAAGGACCAATGAGCTTGTGTTTTTTTCATAGTTGATCTTTATGGTTGATGGACTTTTCATGCTGTAGCTTATTTCATTACTGATTAAGACTTAACCTTTTCAGCTTGGTTCTTTAACACCTTTCAAATTCAGCTATTTTAAAATCCAGTTACTTCCCCTGCTGCCACCTCATAAATGCAGAAAGTTCCCTGATCCTATTTTCCTTAAGATGCTATTTTGAGTAACTTTTGAGCTTCACTGTGTAGCTCGGCAAGGATGAAGAGGGATTCTAAATTCCCAACCTGGGATGTCTTTAAATCACTTTTTGCCTTCTAAAATACAGAGCAGGAGATGAGACCTAAGGATCCAAGCTCTTTAATATGGGCTTTGACATTACTTGCAAATTTCATGACAGTGAGTTATAGAGTGCTATAATTAAAGCAAGCATTTGATTCTCTCAGGTTTTGGTAAATTAAGATCTTATGTTTAAGATGTCACCCCAGTAAGGAAAGCTGTTTTGATTAGTGGCATTCTGGAGCTTAGTGGATATTTGCATTTCATTAACCCCAGAATAAATTTGGTTTTCTAAAAAAAAATCAAATCAATTTCTTTAATTCCAGTTCTGAAGATTCATCCAAGGTCCTGAAAACCATTTAGTTTCCTCCTCTAGGCGTTAGGAATAGAAACAAGTACTGTACTGGGCAAATCTTGGTCTGTTAAAATTTGTGAAATAACAGTATGCAAAGAAAGATCGTGTTTGAGCTGGCAGATCTCAGACTTCAGTGGACTGAGGGAGGAAGCTGATCTCTCTCATAACTCCCAGCATTGTCAGTAAAGTGCCAGGCCTTTAACACAGTGCTTGATTTAACAGCAGTCTTAAGGAATTAACACTGTAGACAATAAAGAGTATGTAAGAAGATATTCCTCTGAAGGCCTAAACATGATACTCTTTTAGGTTTACAGGGTGTGAGAGTATGAAGTATCTTTTTTAATGAGATCATGACTTGCATGGGATTAGAACATGTGTAATGACATGCAAGCCAAGTTTTTCTCTTCAAAACTGAACTTTGCTTTACTGTTCATCTGCTTGTCCAGCACTGTTGCTGGTTCAGCTGCCCATCTCCCTTAATGCCTTGTAAGGTCAAAGCAAAGGGGCCACTGGTGTGTGATTTAATGTCATCTTGCTTCTGCATCACTTCAGTGTCTTTCCTTCTTTGTGCCTTGCTTCAGTTATGTGTTGGCCAGTAAATGTTACAGTCAGCATCTGACACACTCTTTGAGCCTGAATTTGTGAAGTATTTTGATCATTTTTAAGAATTGATGAATGTGTCTCTTGGTGACTTAAAAAGGAGCTGAATTTTCAGCATCTCCAGAACAAGAATGACAGCCTGGCAAACTGTTGCTTTCTACAAGAATATAAGTTTAGCCAGTGTTGTTCTCTGTGCACTTTAATAGCAGATGCCTCTGACAGCTCTTTTGTATTCTGACTTTGATTTTTATGCACAGAACTTTTAATTAGTATTTGCTGCTGCCTAAGCTGGTAACTTGTTGGTTTGAAAATTGTGTCTTTCCAAAAGCCAGAGATGAATGAGTTCTGAAAAGTAGGGCTCCAGAAGATAATGGATTCCAGCATAGGTTTCAGTTAGCGAGCAGACTGTTGCATCATGTTCTATCCCTGAAGCATAGCTGGTTTTCTTTCATCAGTGCTGTTAATATGTTTCTGCTGAATCCTAAGTGAAATTACCTGGAAGTGCTGTGCTGTATTTCCTTTGTTACAGAAAGACATGGCCAACCTGTGACACTTGAGCTGAATGCCACTCCAACTTTTTTTTTTTTGCTAAGGTTGCCATCGTGCCCAGCACCAGGGCTGGGGAGTGACAGGCCTCCCTGGACTGGGAGGGAGCACATGTCCTGCAGGTATGCCTGCCAGGGAACAGCCTTTGGGGAGCAGTTAGCACCCCTGCCTCTGACCAGCTGCACCTTCCTGGGCACTGCTGTGTGCAGGACAAGCACTTGGGGTCTGAACAGAAAGATTTTCATTTGTACCTTGTGCAGTAAAGGTTGGGTGCTCTGGATTACAGGAACCTGTCTTTTTTCAAGTAGTTCCTGTCCAACTTCTTTAAATTGTGTTAAGTGTTGGTTCTTTTTATGTGAAACAGATGATATGTATTTTTAATAAAAGAGTCTCATACAGATGCAGTGTATTTTGATTAATTTTGTTGCAAACAGTAGCTACTAGAATATATAGAAAGACTTTACCTTTCAATATTGATCACCAGACTATTTCAGGTGACCACTATTGATCACCTTTGCAGGTTTAAAATGTGTATACTGCATTTTAGCTGCCTAATTTTATGACTCCTGCTTTGATGAAACAAAACAATTTTTTTAGGCATCACAAAGCCCCAAACCAGTCCTTCTGAAAAGGGAGGATAAGCCAAACTCCTGCCCTCCCATCTGCTGTGCGGGATGTGCTGTCAGCTGGAGAATATGCTGCCTCCTGACCTGTGAAAGTCATTTGTGCATCCCAGGGACTTGTGGCACTCTGGAAGAATGGTGGTGGTTCTTGATGCTTCACTTCTGTTGTGTGCTGCTCCTGGCTACTACAGCTCAGCAGGTTACAGTGACTCAGTCCTGAGCTGTGGAATCCTCTGAATCCTTCCCCCTCAGGGAAATCCCCAGGGCATGGCCTTGGAAAGATACCATAGAGTTTTCCCCACCTAGGCGGACAGAAAGGACTTCCCCGTGGAGTCTTGCGCAACACCATGATTCACCCCATTCCTTTCCCCATATGTCCCACATTCTCATAGTTTCTCCTTTCCCTGTTTGCTCACTGGTTGTGGTATCCCTGGTGGCAGCCCCATCTTCCCTGTGCCACCCTGGTGCTCTCAAACCCTTGGCCACTGACCCCACACTTCACCTTGTGCACCCCACATGGCTTGGTGTTTTGTCCCTGGTTCCCTTTGGCGTGGTGGATGCAATAGACCTCGCTGGAGCTGGCCATACCAAAGGCCCTTCTGCCTCTCTTCACTGAGCTAGCAGTGGTGAGTGGGGTGTGTGGACTTGAGTGCCCTGCCTGAACCCTTCCCCAGGCAGCTTTTCCACAGGAGATGCTTACTGGGGAATAGTTATAGGTAGCAATGACCACCATCTAAACCCACATTGCTACACTGAGCCCTTCCCCATTGTTAAGGGCAAAATAGAAAATCCCTTTGAGTGTTAAAAATGCTGATACCATAGTTCAAGTTCACAAAACATGAATTATTTTGCAGAATAGAGTGTCACTTAGTGCTGGTAATTCCTCAGGATTTCTAGTCTTCCCAGCTGACATTCTAGGAGATTTGGGTTTTATCTGTTTTGGGAAATAGATTGTATGAGAACTGTTCTTGTGCAGTAGGCACAGTAAAAAGCAGTTGTCTCAGTACCACAGCTCATCTGAGGGGGTGGAAAAATGATTTTATAATCTCTGCTTCAGTGGGTTGATTTCCTCCTTTGCTGTCACTTTCAGACAGGCCTCCTCTGTCTTTGATCTGGTATAAACTTAGAGGCTGGTTGGATGTTGGCGTAAATGCTGGAACGCAGAGAACTCAGTTTCTTCCAAAATGTGGGAGTGACTCATTTTTTTCATATTAAAATTCCTGTAAAACTACCCCACCTATTTGTGCTCGTTGGAAACAAATCTCTTGGCAGTTTTTTCCCTTGTTTTATTTCACAGGACTTGAGTTCACATGTGTGGTTCATTAGGTGTGTAATGTTACTTATCCCTTCATGTACCTACTGAGCAGCAGTGCCCCTCAGAAGCAGTATAAGCTTTCCTGTAAGATTTTTGTCCCATTGCTGCATCATTATTCATCAGGAGGGACACACAGAGGCCTCATTGGAGGGTAAGAAGTTTTTACTGTTTTCAAAACTGCTTTTTGTCTCTGTACCAAAGAGTCAATTTGGTTACTCAGGCTGGGCAGTATGGGGCCCTTGTCTTCTGGGTGTGGCAGATGCAAGGAGATGTAAAGGCTGAGAAAGGGCAATAGAAATTATGGTGAGCTGTAGTGTATGAGTTACTGATTGTTTTGAGGAGAGACCAGACAACTGAACTACCAAGAGCTGTTGTTGTACTAGTTTCTGTTCTAACAAAGAGAAAAATATGTAATGAAAGC